ATGAAGCCATACTGGATTAGGGAAGGCTCTAAATCCAGTGAGTGGTGTCCTGTGGAGGGGGGGATATTAGGAGAGACACAGAGGACAGTGCACATGAAGATAGACAGAGATTGGAGTGATGTGTCTACAGGCTAAGGCAGAAGCCACTAGAAAGGTTAGGAGAGAGGCAGTGAGCAAATTCTCCCTCAGCACCTCTAAAAGATATGAACCCTGCTGGCACCTTGATTTCAGATTCCTAGCTATCAGAACCATGAAAGAATAAACTTCTATTATTTGTGGTAATTTCTTGTGCCCTGTAGTTTGTGGTAATTTCTTACAGCAGAACTTAGAAAAGTAATATAGCAGCTAGCAGGTCATTTCTTACATTTTGATTTGAAAAGAAAAATTAAATGAAAAATTTGTTATTTGAATTTTTGAGCATAGTATTGGAGTCTATAACTAAAATTTTGAGCACCTGCAAAGGGCTGATTACTGTGTTAGGTGTGTTTACATGTGCTATCCCAAGTCAGTCTAGCAAATTCCTTTTTCCCACTCCATCAGTTGTCAAAAAGATTTGTAATTTCTTCCTCATGTAGACACAGCCCAGGAGAGATGAGAGTAAAGACATGCAAAACTACAAATCCAATTTTAAAAAACTTCACATGAGTGCATATCTTAGTCAAGCTGCTATAAAAAGTTCTGGCTCATGAAAACCAGATATCTATTTCTTACAGTTCAAGAGGCTGGAAATCCAAGGTTGAGGTGCCAGCACATTCAGGTTCTGGTGAGAGCCCTCTTCCTCTTCACACTATACTCACATGGCAAAAAAAGAGAGAAAGAGAGACAGAAAGCAAGTTCTCTGTGTCTCTTCTTATAAGAACACTAATCCCATTCATGAAGGCTCCACTTTCATAACCTAAGTATTTTCCAAAGGACCCACTTCCTCATACTATCATATTAGAGGTTAGAATTTCATCATAGCAGTTTTAAGGAAACATGAATATTTAATCCATAAAAGTACAACATAGATAGGATTGGACTTCTAGTTCCAAAATGGAGAAGCAAGCTGGCTTCACTCCTCCCCCTACCCACCAAGATAATGAAAAACAAATATAAAGTGATTATTAGCACCAGCAATACTCAAGAACTCAAATATGAAGATAAGAAGCAGATGGCAAGAGACTTGGGCTTCCACATCCATAACACAGCTCCCACATTCTGCCTGGCATCAAGTGTGTGGAAAATTTCCCCAAGTCAGAGGAACTACGCTGGAAAAAGTGAGATCAAGGTGGATGATCAGCTTCCCCATCACCTTGGGTTCCCTGGCAGGAGAATAGCTGCTGCCTTAACCCACAGGAAGCATCACTAAGTTCTGGAAAGGAGAAATATCCCTAAGGACAGAAAGAGATGAAGGGCAAGGAAGGACTAGAATTCTGCCCAGTTCTAGAAATTCTGCCAAGGGCAACATCAAATCAGAGTGGCTGTTCAGCAGCACCACTTTGTAGGAAGTATGTTCCACAGATCACCTGGGTACAAACCTCTAGCGAGCCTTCCAACAGTGCCAGGATATCCCCTTTGGGAACTCCCCCATTCTGGATGAACATTGCTGCAATTTTTTACTGCATCCAGCTAAGTAATCCATCAAATATGAAGGAGAGATAATATTTCTGAGACAAATAAAAGCTGAGAAAATTCACCACCACCAGACACATCATACAAGAAATCCTAAAAGGAGGTCTTCAGTCTGAAAGAAAACAAAAACACTAATGTACCAAAAGAAACGTGAAGGTATAAAATGCTTGGGTAAAGTTAGTTACAGGGACAAGCCTACAATACTTTAATACTGTAACTGTGGTGTGCATTCACTGATGATTCTGGTTGAAGTTCCAAAGAAAAATCTATCAAAAACAGTAATAGTTACAACTATCTATTAAGAGGTAATATAAAGACATATACATTGGGCAGCACCTGTGGCTCAGTGAGTAGGATGCTAGCCCCATATACCAAGGGTGGCAGGTTTGAACCCAGCCCTGGCCAAACTGCCACACACACAAAAAAAAGCCAGGCATTGAGGAGAGCGCCTGTAGTCCCAGCTACTCGAGAGGCTGAGGCAAGAGAATTGCCTCGGCCCAAGAGCTGGAAGTTGCTGTGACGCCACAGCACTCTACCAAGGGCAATAAAGTGAGACTCTGTCTCTAAAAACAAAATAAATAAATAAAGATATGTACATTGAAACAGCTAAAAGTCAAAATGTGGGGGAATGGACTTAATTATTTTTCAGTTTTTCTTTGTTTTTCTTTTTTCTTTGTGATCTAAGTTGTCAACTCTTTAGAATAATTTATATCTATAATACATTTTTATCAGCCTCATAGTAATCAGTATATAAAAACCTATCATAGATTCTCTAAAAATAAAAAGCAGCAAAGTAGAACATACTGTCATAGAAAATCACTTAAGGTTAAAAGAAAACACAGCCAGAAAACAAACAACAAAAATGACAATAGTAAATCCTTACTTATCATTAATAACAATGAATACAAATGGACTCATTTCCATAATTAAGACACAGAGTGTTTAACTGGACAAAGAAACAAGACTCAACTATATTCTACCTACAAGAAAGCCACTTCATTTAGATAAACACACATAAACTGGAAGTTAAGGAGTGGAAAAAAGATATTTCATGCCATTGGAAGCCAAGAAAGAGAAGGAGTAGCTATATGCCAGAGTCCCACCCCCAGGGCAGGGTCCGTTAAGACCTGTGGACATGGCAGCCACCAACTGAAGAAACATAAGGTTAGAAATGACAAGAAAGAAAGAGACAAGACACACAGAATAGAATTTTCAAAGGTGGGAGCACAAGAGACCACACCAGTTCGTGCGTTTCTGACCATGGCTCCAAGTGTGGTTGTACTCAGCTTCTTCTTCTTCTTCTTCTTCTTAGTATTATTATTATTATTATTATCATTATTATTTTGTAAAGTGACTCTGTCTCACTTTATCACCCTGGGTAGAGTGCTGTGGCATCACACAGCTCACAGCAACCTCCAACTCCTGGGCTTAGGCAATTCTCTTGCCTTAGCCTCCTGAGTAGCTGGGAGTACAGGCAACCACCACAACTCATGGCTATTTTTTTTGTTGCAGTTTGGCCAGGGCCAGGTTTGAACCTGCCACCTTTGGTATGCAGCCAGTGCCCTACCCACTGAGCCACAGGTACTGCCCTTTTTATTGAATTTGTGTTTTTTGTTTTAGGGTTTATTTTATTTTATTTTTTTTTGAGACAGAGCCTCATGCTGTCACCCTGTGTAGAGTGCTGTGGCATCACAGCTCACAGCAACCTCCAACTCCTGGGCTCAAGTGATTCTCTTGGTTCAACCTCCCAAGTAGCTGGGACTACAGGTGCCTGCCACAATGCCCAGCCATTTTTTTGGTTGTAGCTCTTGTTGTTTGGCAGGCCCCAGCTGGATTCGAACCACCAGCTCTGGTGTATGTGACTGGTGCCTTAGCTGCTTGAGGTACAGGCACTGAGCCTCTACTCAGCTTTTATTGAAGGCTATTTGCTCATTGGCCCAGAGAATAAGCTGGAACAAAGTTGCCAGCAGTTTCTCTGAGTGAGCATATTGGCTCCTATTGTTTCTATAATCAATAATCTTAAGGGTCTGAGCAGCCTTGAGAAATCCAGAAACTGAGCCTTGTGTGAGGGCAACTTCCTGTCTATGGTCAAAAACATACACATTCCTGGGGGGGGGGGGTTAATACCACTAGTCCACTGTGGAGTAAAATGCCACTGGTGTCAATATCCTGTGAAGAATCAGTGGGAAAAAGGAATTTTCCTCTCATTACCACCACAGAGGATCTTCCTCTGCAATAAGGGATATAAGCCCTCCTGCCCATATTTCAAGGCTCAAGCTGTTTCCTTGATCTCTGCTCCAACCAAATATAAATCTCCACAATGGGGATTTGCTTTGACTGTTAAATAGGCAGGAACTGGCCTAGTTAATGTTTCTTGCTAGGCCTTGCACACAGCTTCCTCTGTGGCCATTATTCCTTCATAGTGTTCACAAACTCAGCAGTGTTAATAAACTATATCCCCAATAAGTCAGAGTTTTAGGAAAAGCGGACACTTGCTCACATAAGAAATTTAGCAGCAGCTGATTCAAAGGTAAACTAGCTGACTTTCCTTTGTTCCACCTCGATTAGCTTATTTATTTTCCCCTTTCTCTGGGAGTGTTTTCCCTTGCCACGAATGGGGTCTTTGGTCCCCATTCTGCCTACATTATACTTATATCAGGTAAAATAGACTAAAAATCAAAGATTGTAAAAGGAGATGAAGAAGGTCATTATATAATGATAAAAGAATCAGTTCAGCAAAAGGATGTAACAATTATGATTAGTTATGCACCCAATACCAGAGGTCCAAAGTATAAAACAAAAACTATTAGATCTAAATAGAGAAACAGATTGCAATATAATAATAGTTGGAGCCTTTAAAACCCCATTCTCAGTAAAGGACAGATCATGCAGACAGAAAATGAACAAAGACTCGTCAGAGTAAACCTCACACTATACTGACACTTACAGAACCTTTCTCCCAATTGCTGTAGAATATGCATTCTTTTCATCAGCATGGGGAACATTCTCCAGCATAGAGCACATCTTAGACCACTAAACAAGTCTGAACAAATTCAAAAAGTAGACATTATATCAAGTCTCTTTTCTGGCCACTCTGGAATAAAACTAGAAACCAATAACAAAAGAAAACTCAAAACTATACAAATACATGGAAATTAAATAAGTTCCTAAACAATCAGCAGGCCAATGAAGAAATTAAGAAGGAAATTTTTTAAATTCTTGAAACAAGTGAACATGGAAATGCAACCTGCCAAGATCTATGGGATACAGAAGAAACAGAACTGAAAAACTTATAGCAATAAATGCCTATATTAAAAGTAGAAAGACCCCAAATTAGCAACTTAACAATGCACCTCAAGGAACTAGAAAAGCAGGAACAAATCAAACCTAACATTGGTGGCAGGAAAGAAATAATAAAGATCAGAGCAGAAATAAATAAAATTGAGATTAAAGAAAAAACCAACAAAACAAAAAGTTGTTCTTTCTTAAGAGAAAAAAGCTAGACTAAGAAAAAAGAGAGAAGGCCCAAATAAAATCAGAAATGAAAAAGGAGACCACAGAAATACAAAGAATCATAACATACTATTATGAAGAAGTATACACAAAAACATTGGAAAATCTGGTAAGTTCCTGAAAATATACAACCTACCAAGATTGAACTATGAAGAACTAGAAAACCTCAGCAAACCAATAGCAAGCATTGTGATCAGAACCATAATAAAAAGACTCTCATCAAAAAACAAACAAACAAACAAAAATAAAACCCAGGTCCTAATGAATTCTAATAAACATTTAAAGAAGCAATAATACCAATTCCACTCAAAACACTTCAAAAAACATTGAAGAGGAGAGACTACTTCCAAACTCATTCTATGTGGTCAGAATTACTCTGACACCAAAACCAGAAAAGAAAATAATAAGCCTGTCGGGACTCATGGAGCTCCTAAGGCCCTGGTCTTGATCATCGCAAGAAGGAACCAGGCAAGAGGCAGATTAGAAGTACAAGCTCGTGGGAGGCAGGCTAGCCCTTACTTGCAGGGTAGCCCCGAGCAACCTCCGCACCAGCCTTTTATTGAGACCGTACAACACAGATGAGGGGAGTAATTAACAAATGACTACACGCTGAAGGCTCAGGCTTGGACTCTTTCACAAGGAACTCCTGCCGTCCACCCCTCAGCTGCAGATCATCTTGCTCAGATGTCATCGGGCTCTTGGTGTCCCCTGCATAAGCCAATATCATAAATACAAAAAATTCTCAACAAAATATTAGCAAACCAAATCAACAAAACATTAAAAAGCTCATCCCTTATAATCAAGGGAGATCCATCACCCAGATCAGTAAATGTGATATATCATATTGACAGAACCAAGAACAAAAACCATATGACTATTTTAATAGATGCCAAAAAAGCATCTGATAAAATTCAACATCCCTTTGTGATAAAAACTCTCATCAAACTGTTTATACAAGGAACATACCTGAAAATAATAAAGGCCATGTATGACAAACCCACAGCTCCCGTTGTATTGAGTAAGGAAAATTTAAAGACTTTTCTCTAACGTGGAGACCATGACAAGAATGCTCATTTTCACCACTTAATCAACATAATACTGGAAGTCCTACCCAGAGCAATTAGGCAAGAGAAAGAAACAAAGGGCACCCATAATGGAAAGGAAGATTCAAATTATCCTTGTTTGCCAACAACATGATCTTATGCAGAGAAAAACCTAAAGACTCCACAAAAAAATCTGTTAAAAGTGATAAACAAATGCAGTCAAGTTGCAAAAGTAAAGATGTTACGAAATCAACATACAAAAGTCAGTAACATTTATATATACCAACATTAAACAATCTGGGAAATAAATCAAGGAAGCAATCCCATTATAATAGCTGCAAAGAATAGAAACTACCCAGGAATTAATTTAACAAAGAAATTAACAATATATACACAGAAAACTATAAACCACTGATGAAAGAAATTGAAGGGCGTAGAAAATGTAAAATTATTTCATGCTCATGGATTGTAAGTATTAATATTTTTTACATGACAATAGTATACAAAGCAATTTACCAATTCAAGACAATCCTTATCAAACCACCAATGATATCCCTCACAGAAATAGAAAAAGCAAATCCTAAAATTAAGTGGAACTATAAAAAACTTTGACTAGCCAAAGCAAAACTGACCAAAAAGAACAAAGTTGGAAGCATTACACTATCTGTCTTCAAAATTTACTATAGGTCAGGAACGGTGACTCAGGCCTGTAATCCCAGCACTCCAGGAGACCGAGGGGGATGGATTGCTTCACTTTATGAGTTTGAGACCAGCCTGAGCAAAAACAAGACCCCGTCTCTACTACAAATAGAAAAACTGAAGCAAGAGGATCTCTTGAGCCCAAGAGTAGAGTGCTATGACACCATGGCACTCTAGCCAGGGTGACAGCTTGAGACTCTCTCAAAAAAAAAATTTACTACAAAGCTATAATAACAAAATCAGCATAATATCAGCATAAAAACAGGTATATGAACCAATGGAAAAGAATAGAGATATAATACATACATTTATAGCCAACTCATTGTTAACAAAGGCACCAGTACTTGAATAACAATATACAGACGAATGAAACTAGACCCCTCTCTCACCACACATAAAAATCAAATGGATTAAAAACTTAAATCTAATACCTTCCTATGAAAATACTAAAAGAAAACATTTGGGAAGTGCTCCCGTGCACTGGGGTGGGCAAAGATTTTATGGGTAAGACCTCAAAAGCAGAGGCAACCAAAGTAAAAAGAGACAAAAGAGATTACATCAAGCTAAAAGGCTTGGGCACAGCAGAGGGAACAATCAACAAAGTGAGAAGACAGGCCACAGGATGGGAGAAAATATTTAAAAGATTTGCTCTTTACAAATTATATGAATGTATTAAATTATTACATGCAAAAGAAACAAATAACAACAACAACAACAAAGATGCACTGTTTTTACACTGACAGCTGCTTCTACTTCTCATATTTTGGGCTGGTTATCATCGAGGATATTCCAAGGTTGCAGTCTCTGTTCCTCATCCTAGAATTAAGTCTTTAAGGTGAACAGAGACTGGAGCTATTGTGCTGCATTCAGGGTCCCTCTGATCGTAGGTGGTCTCTCTGCCACCCTCTCCACACCCACCCCATCTGAGCTAGCCTCTTTTTCCCAAGACCAGGATCCTGCCAGGAATGAGGATACTTAGCATCAGTGTGGGAATGCAGTTTGCTCACCTGAGTAGTCCCCCCAGACTCCCACCTCCTCACAGGGCTTCCTGTGTGCCACTGAGCAGTCGTCTGGAGCCTCAGTTACACACACGCGCTCTGGAGCCCAACTGCTTGCTGGGGTTCAAATCCCACCTCTGCCATTTAAGTAACTGGATAACCTCGGGCAAACCACTTAACCTCTCTGTGCCTCAGTTTCTTCTGTAACATGAGGATACTGAAGGCATCGTACGCATAGGGTTACACAGATTGAATAAGCTAAAATATAGGAAGTCTTACAGCAGGGCTCACTACATAAGAAATGCTACCTGATGTTGCCAGGTGTTGCTAATAATTCTCATGATAATTATAAGTGGCCATATGTGGGGTGTGGCTAGAGAAGACACAGCATCAGTGTTAGTGAATGATGAAGAGCAGGACTTCTCCAGGACAAAGCACTCAAAGATTCTGAGCTGTTCCCCGAGGACTTTATCCTGAATTCTGAAAAACATCAAAGAATCAGGGGCCCCAAAGGCTGTGAAATCCATTTCCCAGGGCAGTGCATGTAAGACTGATGTCTTCTCTCTCTCTCATTTCACAGGTATACACTTTATTTGACGATAACAACTTTCTTTTTCCCTTTACCCTTGATTTTGGTGTGCTACATTTCAATTTTATGCTACACCTGGGAGATGTTTCAACAGAATAAGGATGCCAGATGGTAAGTGTTTGCCTTATATTGCTTTCTTAAAAGAAGAGTGTTCAGTGAAAATCAAGCTGCGGGAGGGAGGGAGGAGGTGATGGGTAAATTCACACCTGTCAAGCGCAGGGCCCACTATCTGGGTGAAGGGTGTTCATTACTTTGACGCAATCTGTACAAAAGCAAATTATGTAAATAAAACATGTGTACCCCCCAGTATTCTGAAATATAAGAATAAAAAATAGATAAACATTTTGAAAAAGAAGAGATTATTTTAAGACATCTATAGCAGAAACTTACGCAATAATGACTTGAAACATACTACATTTAAGGATGTAAGCATTGACAAATGTGTACAGCAGGCTTTCCTAAAAATAAGACATGTCCTGAATCAGCTAATTAAGGATCTCTCAGTGATAAAAGGTGAAATCACTGGTGTAAGTTTCAACAAAAAGCAAACAGAACTTAAAATTCTATTCATAGAATCACTTTTATATTGTCATCAAATATTATTTAACAAGTTTAGTAATACATTTTTCAGGGTTGTGTATGTCTATAAATATCTTAAATGTTGTGTCCAAACTTTTAATTTTTGTGGTTCTTATTTAGGTAAGAAG